CCATTCATTGGAAGCTATGCTTTCTTATATAGAGAAACATATTTACAAAACAATGATTCTTATTTTATTACTAATTTAAATAAAAGCGCTGATATTTCTTTTGAAGATGAGGTATTTTCTTAGGCATGTTCATAACGAAATTAGTATATAAACCTTTAAGAAAGAAATAGACTTCACGAGAAAATCTATGACAATACAAGTCAGTGATCGTGACTTAGAGAAAATATGCCAAGTCTGTATGAGCTGGGTTAAATGTCTCTATTATCTGCATACGAATACGTCAATGTCAAAGAAAATTAATCTATCCCTATAGAATACTAAGATAAAAATTCCATTTCATTTCTTAATTTTTGGTTCAGCCTGGTAGTGTTGTTAAGTTAAATCTTCCAAACATGTAACAAAATTATTAAATCAAATAATATAACTATTTAGTGAAAATTCCTTCTCAAAACTTTGTTCCCAAGACGAGGCGTTGTAAATGATAAATAGGGAAATATTTGAAAATTCAATTATTTGCAGCGGCAGTAATGTAAAAAATGGTAATATTCAAAGTGTTCAAAAGGTTACCGATAAGGTACTTCACAAAAACGGTTTATGAAAACACGAACACACCACAGCCATCTGCAATTCCGTCAAAACTGAAAATTTTATACTCAAAATTTACTTTGGATGCAGGAAAAGAAACATTAGAGGTTTTAAAATGAAGATACTCATGTAAATTTTCCAGAATGAAATGTACAGTATTTCAGGAAATATTCATTTAACTTCTAACTGTTAAATCATATGTAATAAACGGTGGGTTACTACTGATGAGTCCAGGTTGTTCTGGAAAAAAAGTGCCCGAAAGAACCTTAAAGCTTGCAAATGAGCTTGTGGTCATAAGGTAGCGAAAAGTCTTATAACAATTATTTTCTGCTGCAACGCTTCAGGCGGTTATATAATGAAACCATTGGTTATTAACAAATAAAAAAACGGCATGGTTATTTAAAGGAATAAACATAAATAACCTTCCCGTTTGTTGGATGGCTAATAAGACAGCATAGCTTCCAATGAATGGTTCATAACCTGTTTGTGCCAGATATAAAAATTATTTAAGTAAAAAGGGATTGCCTTTTAAAGCTCTTCTATTATATGATAATGCATCTACTTGGTCATCTTCAAGATTTACAACACAAAAATGTAGAAGTTGTCTTTTTACCAAAGAATACGACTTCCTTATTACAGCCGTTAGATCAAGGAATAATTTCGACTTTTAAGGCATTGTATATCAAATAAACCTTCAGGTATATTTTAGAACAAATGAAGAACGATGAATATCTTATTCTTATGGATGCTTAGGAGAAATTTGCAATCTTAGATTGTGTTAAGCATGTTGGATTGTCATACTCACATTAAACAATATGGAAAACAATGTGGGCGGATGCTGTTAAAGATGAAAATGATAGATTAGCATTAGAGCATGAATATTCTCAGATCACTAAATTGGCCCAAACTATGGGAGGAGAAGGTTTTGAGGATCTAGGTCAGGCAGATATTAAAGAAATAATGGCTGATGAAGAACTAAATTAGAAGGGTTAGTTAAAATGATTCGTGTACAAATAAACATGATGAAGACAATGATTCTGATGAGAGCATCTGAACCAGTTTGCGTTCACAGTAAGTCATCACCGTGGACTCGAATTGAAAAGAAAATTAGTAATAATTTTTTACAATATGACACGAATATTAAACGACTCTCCGATTCCAACAGAGCTTAGAAGCTTAATCACTATGAGAGGTTCAAAGATTAAGAAATAAACCTAGCATTGTTAATTAGGATTTCACTACAATCTTGTCGATCTGAGATCTTCCCAATTCGTCAACCATTGAAGCGGAATCTTATCAACGCTCAAGTCATGAAAAGACTCATACCAACAAGAAGAAAGACTAATTTCAGAAGTGATGACAATATTAAACTTAAATATTTTTTGAATAATCTCATATTTTCCTAATGTAAAATAAATTAAATATGTAATTTTATTATCTACATGTATTTGTTATTTTATGAACGAAGTATAACATTTTCTTTTATTTTAACATGTCTTACTTTTGTTTTATGTATATAAATAACTAAATTATGCACATTTAGTGTGTTTTTCATTTTACACGGTTTTACATAGCGAAATCCAAGTTTACACGGTTTTGTGCGGAACCTATCTTCCGTGTAAATCGAGGAATAGGTATATTCGATATTTGTGAGAGCTTCGCCTTTTAGATGCGCTTTGGTTTTTACGTTTGGGTAATTGTCTTAGTAGTTTGACGTGTAACTAATGACTGTACTCTGTGATACTGAGAAGAAGTGTACGAGTGCTTTTGTGGAAGGTTCCGAAAGTGTAAGGTGTTCCTTTTGTGAAAATAAATTTTATCAAGTCATCATCGATTCTTTGTGCACCCTATCAATTAAGAACCCGCATACACGTAACAATATGATATAATATATATATTAAATTACTAACAAATATAAATTAAACTAATAACGGATTGAAAAGCGTGTTGTTGCACAATTTCCGTTTCAAAATCAAACTATGATTTACGTCAAGAAAGTGTTAAAGAAGTTAAAGAATCGCCTACTGCTCGCGAGCCGCAGTTAAAGCGCAGAGAGTCGAAATTATGTTATGCGTGCTATATAATTTATTCTGATATTAAACCTGAGGATCTCAAATGGTGAGGAGTTCCGCCGAAAAGGGCATGAACCACGAAACAGACTGTAACAGTAGGCTCATGGGAAAGAACGGCTACGATACGGTTAAAATCGCGTCGCCGGAGGGCTGACAAATCGGCACCGTGAAAGCGCAGTGAAATCGGCTCCGTTAAATTGGCCTCGTGAAAGCGCAGTGAAACTTATAAATTTTCTTCATTTATGTTTAATAAATATGATAATTACTAATATGTTTTTAAATATAAGAATAGTGTATTAGAGATGATGAAACTTAAATTTTGCATTTTTATAATACAAAAATAATAAAAAATAAAAAAGTTGTACTGTTTGTATATTTATGGTACACAAAAATAAAATATTTTCTGTTTACAGTTGCATTTATTTTGAATGTACAACTTGAATGAAAAAAAGTCTCTATATATAATCGAAGTCTATCTATCTATCTATCTATCTATATATATATATGTATAATATCTCTCCTCTCTCTCTCTCTCTATATATATATATATAAGTCTATATGTATATATCGCATTCCAGTACACAGGGAGAAAGTGGACTGGGATCTAAATGGTTGAAATCACTGATATTAAATTCTTCAGTTATGATTAGGAAGGTATTGGATCACATCTGAGCAATGGCTGTATAAGAAAGCGCCAGCATTTGGGGTTCTGCTGTACAGAAAGAAGTATTCTGAGTCAGACACTAGTGCGCTGAATAAAATACTGGAAATTAGCCAAGATTGGGAGGGGGGAAGAGAAACATTTCTGTACTTATTTCGAAGAGCGATCTGACACGAACTCGAGCCTTTCTTGTTCTTCTGTGATGTTATTTTTAATCATTTTCAATTTTGAAGCGAAACTTAAAAAACAGTAAAATTTTACCTGAAAAAATTTATGTAAGAAAAAAGAATTGTTTTAATATTTTGTATTCTCTGGCAATAATAATTATCTTAAAGCTCTTTTTTTCTTTGAGGAAAGAGAAACTATGTATTTCTTGAAGAACCTTCTTAATATTTACAAAAGATAATGACTTAAAATGAGCAACCAGTGAGCTTTTTAAAGTAAGAGTTTGGCAAGTGTAAGTTTCTTCTGTTTGTAGAAGGTAATAACCAAGTGACATATAATCCATTCAACTTTCGAAGGTCATTGTCCCAGAAAAACAATGAACTCACCGTACGGAAGAAGACCATCTTAAGGGTTGCCATATCAGACGCTCCTTAGTTTCACACAAGGGGGAAAATGATCACTGCTGTAATCGCTATTATGCTCTCAAACTCCATCAGGTATCTTAATCGTTTAGTATACTAAAACTGTGATTTAAATAGCTATCGCTGGTCATAATTAAATCAAAAATGATCAATATAAAAATAACTCCAATTTTTATATTGATCATTTTTGTCTCAGTAGGAAAGGATAAACATTTATCACAATGAACAGATGCATTTTAAATAAGTTATATGAGAGAAAATCTGATTTTCTTGTCCTTCGGAGATATTTCGTTTTTTTGCAACTTATTGCTAAAACCAGTCGGTGGCTGCAACTTGTCAACAACTTTATTCGCTTCCTGTTTCTGTGTCCCTTTTTAGTAATTCTTTAGCAGAAAAATTGTAAAAATCTACTTTTCAGACTTTCTTTAAAATGTTTATATATATATTAAATGTACCTATTTTGCCATCAATAAAATGCAGATTATCAACGCCGCAAGTATTCATACAGGCTCAGACCACCTGGCTACTACCTCTACCATCTTTTATTGAAGGAGTAAGAGGGACTTCATTTGAAGTTCAGTACTGGGTTTTTGCCTAACAGTTTGCTTCTCTTTACTTCCAAAAATACTGAATTTACATTCATCTAGAAATACAATCGAATTGTAAAAAATCTTTAGTCACTTTACATTCTGCAATAGGTCAGTTGTGAAGATGTAGATGACGTGAAGGTGTATTAAGGAAATTACCCAAAGATCTATCAAGAACCATCATCTGATTTTAATTAAGAAATATTTGCATCCAACGTAATTTCACACTCCTTTCTTCAAATTTCTATAAACTAATAATTTTTAAAAACTTTTATAACATATTTCATCACGTTAACAGTTATTTAAGAATCCAAGACATTTTTTTATCTCCATATTAATTGGGAAGCTAAAACTGTCCAGGCTAAATCTGAATATATATTTCCTAAATACTCGGCACACATAAAATGGAGTTGAACAAAATTCACTCTCATGTTGATGCTGAGCCAAATCTTGGAAACCGGTTATAAGCTGATGTGACGTGACTGTCATGGCCGTGAAATTTTCCTGTTGCTAATAAATGGAGCACGGTCAAGAAGTTCTGACTTCGAAAGTTCCCACAACCTTATCATATTGAAATCTTCAGCGTTTTTCATTTGACTATGTTTAATACTATAGTTACCCACCTAGTGTCTTTAACTTTTTTGTCGTGCATTGGATTTTATTTTTATGCGTACATAGGGAGCTTGTACATCATACTTGCTACAATTTCTTCATTTTTGTATATTTCTTTCTTATTAGCCAGTTTTGTGGATAACGCTTTGCCAAGGTTCAGGGTTACCGCAACGAACAAGGCAGTGTTTATAACAGGTGAGCGAAACTTCCATATTTCATTTTAACTTTCAAATGGTATGATATGGATGCAGATGTGATTAGGATGCAGTTGTTATAATAGGTAAATCCAGATTTTAGTCTAGGAGCATCTAAATACGAAGACATCCATCCTTACTCATAAACAAAACAAAACAAGTAGATCATTAAAATCTTTTCAATTTAGTAATATCAGTAAAATATTGTTTACCTAATAAATGGTTACTGAATGTTATAAATAATTTATTTAGTTTTTAATTTTAAATCATTATAAACTTAGTAAAACTAACAACTAATACTAGCCAAAAAAGGGCGTCAGTGATATTAAGTGACAATGTCTAATGATAGTTAAAAAAATTTTATGCGAGTATAACAGCGTAAGACAAATTTTTAAATTTAATTTTTTGTTTTAGTGCATATATATATACGTAAGATAAAAAGCCTCTTAAGTCTTGTGTTTAATTTGGTTATTCCCCTCTTGCATTTTTTTTTAATCCTAAATTGGTAAACTTTTTATAGTAATTCTTCCAGAAGGGTGTCGTTTCACAATTAATTCTTGTCATATAATTCTTTTAGTGTAACTATATAGACGCGCGAACTTATATAACGGCAAAAGTGAAAGTCTTTTACACAATAGTTTTTATAACTATTCAAACTAAAATTTTTACTTAATCAATAGTAACAACGAAGGATACTATATCTTGCTGCTGAGATACATAATAAATTTACCCCTTCTTAATCTAACGTCATCAATAGCATAATCTTCGCTTTTCTCAGATTTACCTCTTATCTGTCTAACACGTAATCTACAGCCATTTAGTCTGTTCATCACCAGTCCCACCAGTAGCCAAATGGTTAAAACCGCTAAATACTGGTAGTTTTATCTGGATTCGAAACCAAGAGAACTGGATAGTTGCATGTTTGGTTTTCAAAGTTTTCCCCATGTGTGACTTGAATGCGAGCCATTTTCCCGTATAGAGTCCTCCATAAAAGCACCCCATCCTTCAGCTCTTTCTTCTTCACCAGTGGCCGAGCGGTAAAGTCGCTGAACACTGGTAGTTCGGTCCGAGGTTCGAATCCCGCGAACGGACTGGCTGCATGGGCATTTTCGTGGTTTTTCCCATGTGTAACGTGTACACGAGCCAATTTCCCTTAAAAAGTCCTCCACGAAGGCATCCCTCCCCTTAGGCAGATAGCCTTAGTGTGCTTTGCCATAGTTAAATAGACCAAAATAAGTAGACCTTTAGCTCTTGGGCGATTTGCCGTATTCAAATAACCTTATCTTTGCCAGTTGCAGTTCTATATATAAGTGGAAGTATGTTTGTAATTGCGGATAACGGGCATGTCTCATGCATCAGTTTAGATTTTTGTGTTTGCATCCGTAATGCTGTGTCGCAAACAAACAAGTGTATCAACCGACTTACGAATGCATCCTCTTTGTAATTATCCCTCTATCTTCATCCATACCATACTCTGAATTTCATCACTTTCCTATATAGGTAATGTAGAGAGGCGCTTAAATGCGTGTTCTTATACAGATCTTAAGGATCAAGTATCAGGTTTCGACCATTATACTTTTTTTAAACCTGAGGAGTACGCACGTATCTCAGTATCTTCATCAATTTTGGCGAAAATATCAAGCGTATTTTTCTTAAAATAACAATTTAATCTAATTGAATAAGGTAAAGCGCACGAGGGTTATCTGCCCAAAGGGAAGGATGATTTCGTGGACGAATTTTAAAGAGAACTCGCTAGTAATTACTTTATATCTGTGGGAAACTTCGAAAACACTAATACGATCCGCTCACCAGAATTCCAGCCGGGGCCAAGATGCATTTATTCAGTGATTTTATCCACTTAACCGCAGGTGAGAATTAAAAAAATAAAAGTGCAGTAAAACTCCATTTATTTGAATCGCTTTTTCTTCGTTTGAAGTCATTTAAAATTATGATCGCTATTAATTTACTTAAAGTACTTTTAAGTCTTCGATTGATTTAAATAATGAAAAATTGTAAAACAGCGTAAAATACATCTGTGTACACAAAAGTTTTTATGTCGCTTTTATTTTCGCTGCCATTGGTAACAGATATTTCGAACATTCGACATAATTTGAATTGCAAAAATTTGATGTTATATTCGAATTTGACATACAGATTTTAAATTACAAAAGTGTTTTAAATAATGCATTTGAATTATTAAATTAAAGAAAATCAGTATTGTAAAAATTAAGAAATCTAATTTTTTATACAATCTCTCAATTCAATTATATTTAGTAAAAATTTACATTCTTTATTTAAAATTAAATCATAAAAAGTGTGACTTTAATATGACAAAATTCACCGAGATGTTTATTTTCTAAATTTGGAATTTTTGTAACCCCCCCCCCCTTTTTTTTTTTTTTTTTTTTTTTTTTTTTTTTTTTTTTTTTTTACTTTCCGGAAAGTTGGTTACAAAATAAATTACAAGAAGTCAAAGCTTTTTTCCCCTTTGATGGAATTCACTGATTTTCCTTTGCGTGCATTTGTGTTCTTCCTCTTTAAGCAAATGTAAATTTCTTGTAAAGATTCAAATATATGAGACATTACTATGAGAAAAAAATTCACAGCCAAGTATTGTAGCCAACACAGAGGTGTGTTTGGATCCCATATCTTCGTATAATTTTGTATAAAATCTTGCATTCAATATCACACTTTTTATAACATTATATTATATTTTTATAACATACATGCAGAATGAAAAACAAGAAACAGGTATATAGGCAAGGGGGGGGAAGAGAAAAATTTTAAATTATTCAGAATTTAACGGCCGGCCAAAAAGGCTTAAGGTTTTTTTTTTTTTTTTTTTTTTTTTTTTTTTTTACTCTCTCTCTCTCTGAGCTCGCAGTCTACCATTCTACTGTTGCACTCACCAGTTGTCTACCAGTCTGCTGTGAAGCCATTTCTATATATCTTTTTAGCTTTGCTATTAAGCATCATTTCACACTTACACTATATACAATTCAGAAGCAAAATTAAAAAAAAAATTAAAAGCAATATACCAGAATATATTTAGAATTCCAGATACAGTGTTAAGTGTTTGCATACATTTTTCTATTTTTTTCTCGTCTTTTTCTAAGTTCATCTTATCAATGTTCAATTTTCTTAGTTAAAATGGCTTGCAAAACTTTCTCTTTTTTTATATTTTTTTATTATTATCGTTTTATATATTAAATTTATTAATTAAATACCATATTTTCTGTGCTGACGCAACATTAAATTCAATTCAACAGAAAAATTACAAAATGTTTATCAACAGCATACCTTTAGAATTTCCGATATACAGTCTCGCGAGCTGGAGATAAGAATATTTTAATCCTTAAAGCATTATTACTGCTCATTTTGAAGTCGTTGAGTTTGTTAATCAAAAATTCATTAAAAGTTTATGAAATATAAAATCCGAAATTCAAAATTCGGGCTCCCAGGTACACAGAATGGAGAACAACGTTATTCAAAATTTGATGGCTCTAGGTACCGTTGTTTCTTCACAATGCCAGGAAAAATACATACATACATGCAGATTTTTCATTATTTAATTTTTTTTAATAATACAGGGCAATAATATTTGGTGGCAACATTTTGAAAAATGATACAGCCGTTTACAATGGACGATGCGAAATCGTTTTCGAGAATAATAGTCCATTCGGCCTAATGCTCTACTAGGCCAGCACCTCTGTGATACAATAGGCTATTAATATTTTTGAACGAGGTGATTTAAAAATTAAATTAAGCAATTTTATAACAAATACTTTTTAAAAACGCATCATTACATTAAGCACAGCCATCACATTAATTATAATAGACATTTATACAGTTAGAATCTGTTATTTGTTTGTGAAAACATGTTTGTATTTGTAAAATTAAAAATAATACTAATATAATAAAAATAATTGATCAAAAATCTAATAAACCATTTTTTCAAACTTTTGTTCACATTCTTGATCTAATTGTTATCTTTAAGTTATTTGTGTGCAGTTATTGATAATGTGATTATATTGTAGAATATAATCACATTATCAATAACTGCACTAGAAAAAAATTATATATTATAGATTATGTTATAAACTGTTTATTAAAAAAAATATAAGGAGGTTGACGAAGAAAACTGTTCCTTTAGAAGGGGGTCGATGCAAAAGAAAGGAAATCACTGGTCTGAAAAATAAACGTTTTTCCTTGAATCACAAACCAGCCGCCGAGCGTCACTGAACATTACTAATTCGACCGGTGTTCGAAACCCGACGAACAGGTTGGCTGTATGACTGGTTTTTATGATTTTTTCCTTGTATAACGTGGATACGAGCTTCTCTTAATAATTTTTCCACGAAGGCATCCCTCGCCATAAGAAGATAGCTCTAGAGTTACTTTGCCTTAATCAATTAACCTAACACGGAATCTTAAATGGCGATCACAGTGCTCATTTTCGCCTGGAGTTAGGTCAATTCTTTGGACACGGAGCTGCGCCTCTTGGGTTTAATTCAGTTCGCATGTGCTTCTTTAAGCGTATTTTGCTTAGAAATTCAAATACTATATTGCATCAGTTACTGCTGTTTAGTCTTCAGTTGCTAAAATTTCATTATTAATGTTGTGCGATCGTGTTATCGTGCCGTTTTCGTGGTTTTCCCCATGTGTAACGTGTATACGAGGAAGTTTCCCTTATAAAGTCCTCCACGAAGGCATCCCTCCCCTTAGGCAGATAGCCATCGAGGCATTGTCATAATTACACACACAAACAAACGTGTTATCGTGCAATAACGCTAATGGGAAAAATTACGCTTATATAGCATTGTAAAGGAAATAGAAATAAAATTATGGAAACTGTATAAAATTTTGTTGCCGCTGTGAAGGAAGTTCTGGCTTCCAGGGCGCTTTGGAAATAACTGGTCTAAAATGTTTCAGAATTCTGTTTTCTGGGGTACTAGAGGGCTCTGTATCCCAGAAACTAGTTCACCATTTGACATTGGAAAGGCATTGGTGGATTTTAGGTACCTTGGAATTTAGAAGTTAATATGATAAGTCTGATAACTGCTTGTGGAACCTCATCCTGGTCCTAGTGACCCTAGGGATTGGTACATTATCCTGCCGAAGTTAACGACTTTTAGAATGAAAGAAGGATACGAAAGGATCAAAAATTGCTTTACAAGAGGAAAAAGAAGGGAAAACTCTCATGACGGAGACCATTGATGAGAGTTAACATGGCTGGAGAGGTCTGTAGCTCTGTATTATCAACGTCTCAACCTTACACTCTCAAAATTTCAGTAAGAGAGGAAACTAAACCGGTTGGTCATACAACTCAACACAAAAGTGCAGAAGTTCATGACTAACGTTCTGAGAAAGGCCAAATAGCTGCTAGGTGAGCCACATAATTTGCTAGCTGATGTTTTGCAAAGAGGTAGCATTGAGATTAGATTTAATCTGAGCCATTATTGCCTTTCGAGTTGGACACTGTACGCCTTCACCAAACTGGTCATTCTATGCCTACCCCGAACATCGTAATATACACGTGGCTTCCATTTGCTAAGCAATTGAACGTCGATTGACTGTGGATACTTGCAGTCGACTTTTAATGTGTTTAATTTCAAGATCCTAAAGGTTATTTTAATTTCCCTCTGTTTTGCATGAAACAGTGCTTTTGCGATAAACATTGCTAAAGATATCCTATTCAGCAGTTTTCACTAACTGCGATACGCTATTTGAAGTACTAAATGTTCCCTTATTTGAAAAACCTGTACTTAGTTTGAATGTTTCATACTTTGTCAACATATTCTTTTTATTAGTACGTTTTCAATTCTTTAATATGCATTGTGTGTATCTTATTGATCAAAAAAGAAATCCTAATACTAAAAAGTGCCTATTAATAAAAAGTTTTATTCTAGTACTAAAAAGTAAAATTACTTCCTATTTACACAAATGAGGGGGGGGGAAGAGATTTACGCAGAAATGTTTCGCTTGAGTGATAAAGCTACTACATTTCAAGCGGAAACGCTAATTTTCCGTAAACATGTATTATGAGTAGAAGTAAAGGGAAGTTAAATGGAAAGAAATAAATTAAAATATAACATGGCAACTAAAGCATTTAAGCATGACAACTCAAGTATAAAAGAAATAAATTGGAAAGTTTTTAAGAAAATGGAGACTTTTGTGATTATAAATAATTCACTCTTAAAATTCTTCCTAAAGGTGAAAATCTAATGACTACTATAACAAACTATTAAACTCAGAACTCGTCAAGTGGTTTAGATCACAAAACTCCAAGAGTTTGTCTCATCGAGTCCCGGTGACTATGCTAGATGGCACAGAGGTTTTCTTGATTTTTCCTATGCGTAATTTGAATGCAAGCCACAAAAAATCTTAAAGCATCCTTTCCTTTGAAGATAGCTTTCGCCAGTTTTGCCTTTATTAAAATCAGCCGACTATAAGACACTATTATGCAGTCACTAATCAGAACAAATTTCTCAAATATTTTAACAGTTCTTCAACAAAAATATTAAACGTGGCTAGGGAAGAAATGCTGTTGAAACATTTGCTGTTATTACTGCTAGAGCTGGGCGGATTTATGCACTATTTTGCCGTGTGCTTTGTTAGGGCATTCGACATTATATGAGATTTTTTGAGAGATAATAGGATTCTTTCGAAAGTTAGATACTGCGTCTGTAATTCTAACTTTGAACATTCAAACTGACTTTTGTGCTAAATGACTCAAAGAATCCAGGACACTCACAATACAAAATGAGAATGAGATAAATAAATTATGATATTTTCTTCTTCCTTTCTGCATGCCTTCGTGGTGTAACGGTTAGCTAACTCGGCGCGTATTTGAGAGGTCCAGGTTCGAGTCCCGGCAAGGGCTCATTTTTCCCTTCTCAAGCATAAAAAAATAACATAATGTCTCTACAGTGGCGCCCGAACTGAAAAGTGGTGGATGATGATTCTTCACCACCATGATTTGGCTATTGGGTTCGATAATCAGTAGTCGCCCTTTAAAAAAGGGAGTATATAAGGTATTTTAGACTACAGTTCTGTATTACTTTTGGCTAAACTTTTTTTTTTTTTTTTTTCTTGCCTCATTGAAGCCCGACTTAACTCGGGTAATGTCATGAACCATAATAATATCTTGTTTTTTTTTTTTTTTTTTTTTTTTTTTTTTTTTTTTTTTTTTTTTTTTTTTTTTCGCCTAAAAGCTACATCTAGTGAGCTATATCTGTAGATAATAAAAATGGTATAAAAAATCAAGGATTTTCGGCATAATTTTTAACACAAATTCGATCATTAAGCGGTTAAGAAAAGGGAGATAAAGATAAAATAAATTTCTAGAATAATAGTTGCGATATATTCTAACTTAAAGTTCAGTACCTTTACTGGTATCTTTTAAAGAATTTAGAAATGAGAGCAATTTACAAGTAGTTATCATTAAAAATATACAAAGCTTAGATAACAAAGGATTTAATGGACTGCAAGATGTTATTTCAATTTGCAGCGCACAAAAACTGGTGCAGAAAAGTTATGTGCCCTTGATGCAATTACATGTTTTGTTGGAAAAGTTTTTTTTATGTGAATTATAACAAAAATCCCAATTTTCTGATGAGTTAAAAAAATCGCTTAGAGAAAGGATTGATGTGAAACACATTTGTTATGCTCTTTCACCACTTTAATAATAAGAAAATTATGTAGGTCCTGATCTTCAATTATTACTAAGTTAAAAAATTATATCTGAATTTTCTAAGATGAAACATGTTAGAATTTCCATTAGATGAACTTCCATTTAGCCAGGATACCGCATGGGATCTTAGAAGAAGTACCTAAGAAAATTCTTTCGTAATCTTCTTTTAGGGTCAAGAACAGGTCTGATTTTAAGCCTGGTTTTGACTGAGTAATTGCCGTACCTTGCATTAAGAAGGTCTAAATGGAGCGCGAATTGCAATTATTTGTGACAAAAGGCTCTTCTAAGCTTTCACCAGTACTTAATGCTTTCACTAAATGTTATTCCATTGACATTTGTTGCAACTCAAATAGTATTTTATGATATTAATTTACTTTTTTGTAGTTGAGAAATAATAATAATAAAATGTGAATGTTAGGTATTTTAAGAGACGTAAATCAGACAAAGCAAAAATATCCTTTGGATTTTCAAATGGTAAAACATTTTGTTCAAATATTTAAAATATTTTAAATGTATATAAAAAGAGAAAGAGTTTTTTGTCGTAAAATTTTGCGTTTCATTATTGAAAAGAAATATGCTTTTCTAATCTTTCCTCATTTTTTTCACATTCAATATAGATATAGATATAGATGTTATTTATACAAATTTCTGAATGCATGTAACCATTTCTAAAAATCCGTAAAGCTCCTTGGAAAATTTGTCTGAAATTCTGGGAAACAAACAAAATGTTGCATAGTTGAGAAAGTCAATAAAATATATAAAAAAATGTTCTTGGGTCTTCTTTGTATGCTTCATTGTTCCTGATTCTTCATTCTTTATTAAATTAAATTTTAATGAAAAAGTGTCTTTTAAAGAAAATTGTTATAATCTTTACAAAAAATTAAATTTTGTTTGTCAACAGCAAAAATTATTTGAGTTTCAGCACATTTTTCACAATTCTGATCGTTAAAGAATTAAAGACATTTCCAATGCTCAGAGAAATTTGAATAAATTTTACAGTTATTTTAAAAGACGTAATATTTATTTTTCAGGTTGTGATACTGGATTTGGGCATCTTTTGGCGCGGAGATTGGATAGTTTAGGCTATAAGGTATTTGCTGGCTGTTTGAATACTTCTGGTAAAGAGATTGACGAGTTAAAGTACACTTGTTCCAGTAACTTGCATATTATTAGTTTGGATGTGACTCTAACGAATAGTGTTCAACAAGCTTTGAAAATAGTACAAAATAACTTGGGGACTAACGGTAAGTTTATTGTTTTATGTGTCAATTGCAATATGAATATTACTATAACAGTGTGTATATTGCAAACAAATTTTTAAAATTGTTAAAATTAACGTGTGCTGATACGACTATAAACGCGTGTCTTCATTTGTGTAATTACTTATCGAAATTAATCCTAAGAAAAAAAATTAAGACTATGAGATTTGAAGTATGCCTGTTTTCATGAAAATGTGGATTTCAAACTGGTGCTTCAGCTACCCTGACAGTGTTTCGATGTTTTTATCTAACTGCCTTTATTTACTCAATTACTGTTTTACCTTCTAATCTGTTGAATTCGTATAGAGAACATTATGTATTTTCTGATCGAGGAACATAAAAAGTCAACACTGCCTTCATTGAATTCGAACAACGGATTTTCCAGTTGCTAACTGGATGCGTTGATAACTTCCCTCTCAAGAGCTCATACGATAGAATGAGGCAATTCATTAGGAATTGAAAAGAAGAATCTTAATGTTATTGTTTACTTAGTGTAGGGATTTAGTAGATGGTATTCCACTTCTTATGCTTTCTCATAAGTCTTGCAAAATATTATCTGTTTAGCTATATTTGAGCTTTTATATCTATAAATGGGTATCAATTAAGTCGAAACTATAATTAAATTTATTATTTACACGAAATTAGGAATTTTAAAGAATTTATTCTGTTACAACGCAAATGCCAAACGCAGCTGTCTGAAACCGAAGTGAAAGTTTCCTTTAGAATCATCCCCCAGAAATATTTCAGTTTCTCTTCTGCAAACAGTCTACTTACGCTTAATCCAGTTACGGATTAACCGGATGATGGTGTCTTAAAAAAGTTAATTTTGTTTATTGTAAAACAATGAAAAAAGTATTATCGACAACCGTTAGCGTAAAACAAAGCTGTCTGTAGAAAAGAAAGTGAATGGGATAACGACAGTGACAGTGTTAAAAGCTATCATTCTTTAAAAGTAAATTTCTCAATCATAAATATAAATTTAAGTGCACAGACAATCATCTTCAGTTTCCTGTTAGGATCTACACTTCATCTCTAAAGGAAAAAACTTTTGTATTACATTTCTTGTATCTTCATCCCTATTTTTCTCTGCGTTCTAAACAAAGGTGGTGTAAAATGAGTGTGAACTGAACTCTAGGAGAACGAGAACAGAATAAGCATATTTTTGAACACAATATGTGGCTAGTGACTATTAAATCAAAGTACAAAAATGGATTCTCTGATTCCACTCAAATTCTTTCATTGAGCTGTCAGACAGAGCTTTATTAAAGTCTGATGCTATGGGGAAAATTTGGAAATTATGGCTATTCGGGAAAAGAGGAAATAGTGCCATAAAATTACAAGAGTATATAATAATAAAAAGAAAAAGCAAACAGCAAGTGCATTGTGAAGTAAAAAAAAAAAATACATTCAATGATAGGAAGAAACACAGAGGAAAAAGACTTCCCCTAAACAAACAGAGAGAAAGAGAACTTTGAATACTGATTTAATTCGTGTAATTAAACTTATTCTTCAGATTAAAGTGTTTGAAAATACCGGTAAATCGTTAATGGTATTTTTTCTTAATTATAATACTGGTTTTTATTCTCGGTCTTTTAAACTGCCATCTGATTAACCGGGATTTTTAGTTATTTGTGGACTGGGCCGGTGGTATTTATTACCTCAGAAAATCGAGATTGATCTAAAATTCGTGAAAATCAAACTTTCAAAAAGTATGAAAATTCCAAAAGGGATATTAATGAAAAATTCTTTCAATGGATGGCATTCCTATATTATTATAAGTAAGATATCGCTTTGAATTTCAGATTCTGTTTACGCTGTAATTTAAAAAAACTTCTGTTTGATGCAAGTTGGAGATAATTTTTCCCAAATAATACGAATTTTTTGACTGAGCATTATTTTTCAAAGCATTCTTATGGACAAACTGTTGAAACACTTAAAGAAACCATCCCAAGAACCTAATAAGATAATAATTTTCTACTTGGTAACGCGAAGTCAGGAAACTGGAAGAATTCTCCATAAAAAACGATGTGGCCTCTCTTTTTTTTAATTCAGACAAAATAGACGAAGTTAGGAGTAAAATATTATAGTCAGCGACAAAGAACTCACGAAAATTGGCATCTTCACACTTCTGGTTTTTGGTTAAAATAAATAATCATCATTTTTTATGAGAATGGCCTTTCTCTCAACATTATTCTCCAGCTTTTCAAAGCATTAAGAAATGTAACGTCGTTTGTCATTTTTTTGACTGATAATATTGACACGAAACTGTAAGCCTGTTTAGAACATCAAGAGCCATTAAGCCTATCATTGGTTAAGTGAATAGAACCTCTGAAAACTGATATTCGATCGGTATTCGATTCTTGGCGAAAGGACTGGCTGCGTGGCCGTTTTTTTTTTTTTTTTTTTTTTTTTTTTTTTTTTTTTATATAGTTTATTATGCGAAATGTCGACATAATTCGGATTCTACGTCCTCCATCACTTTAGCCTCATAGCCCTCGTATTCTTCGACATAATCGATTAAATAAGCAAATAAGCATATGCCGTTAGCAGTGAAATGCTTTCTACTACCTCTTTACTATTTCTTTTCCTTTGTTATTGCATTAATGTTTTTTTTTTTTTTTTTTTTTTTTTTTTTTTTTTGTATAAAAAATCTTGACTTTGGCATCAAGGAGGACACACATATCAACATCGATTCCAGCTTAGATGTCACATCCGCCGCCTGCCGAATAGGTGAAAAATTCAAAAAGAATTCATAAGGATTCTTTTGAGAAAAAGTTAAGAACAATGCGTGGTATATAATTATTTTTGAGAAAGATGGTTTTTGACAGAAATTTTTAAAATTTCTGCCATCATTAAGCAATAAGCAATATTCATAAACATTGTCTTTTGTCTTGAATATCTATATGCCGGAAAGAAATAAGACATTACACTCATAAAAAAATATACCTTTAAGTGGCAACCATTTAAAGAGAATCCCCTACATTTCCAATTTCAAAATAAGCTAGAAATATCTGTTATTGTGAGTTTCAATAATGTCGTGTGAGGATTTCTGTAAATAAGAAATGCCGTTTTTTTAATAGGATATCGTAGAACAAAAATTCAAAATTTATATGCTGTAATTAATTAAAACTAAAAAGGTGCCCCAGTAAAATGCATTATATATCTATACTTTTCTCCAGATAAAGCGAATGATGATGTTTTACAGCAAAATTAATACTACTGGATAAACAGTTCCTAAACTTTCCACAAGACTCTTGCTTTTAAACCCAACTACTAACGCCTTCTTAGCGTGCCTTCGTGGTGTAGGGGTCTGCACATTGGGCGCGTATTCCAGAGGTCCGTGGTTCGATTTCCGGCGAAGACATTGCTCATTTTTCATCTTTCCTGCTTCCAAAGCTAATATCTCTACAATCTATACTGATAGAAATTAACTATTTTTTATCAGATTTAACGAGCAGACGCAAAACAAAATATGCTTTTTGTAGGGGGAATTATGATTCCGCATTTTTTAAAAATGCAATTTCAGTTAAGTCTTGGGTTATTCCTATGAAAATATTAATTACGATGTCTCTGTGAACATTGTACTCAAAGGTATGGAATGCTTTCTATTTAATCCATTTAAATGAATATTTTAGTGCTTGGACCTCTCTCTCAAACGGAATATATAGAAAGTGAGGTCTCATGGAGATGTAAGAACCCTACGTATTTACAAAAATTTTCCACTCAAAGTTAGATTCGAATAGAATTTTAAATCAAATTGTTCAATGAATTTAAGAAAATTCAGTACTTTTTTCTGAGATATTTTTCATTCAAAGTCATGTCTTAGAGCTATGTATAAGGATATAATGGCTTATAGCTGTACTTTTCGAAAACTTTGTATAAAGCTTTTATTTCGAAGCTTAAATGGAATGCGGAAATTGTGATTTATTAAGTAGCAGTATCGAATACAATATTTTTCTGTAACTGATAATATCATTTTAAACATTCCCTTTTTAATTTTTTCTCTTTTCAGAATTGTGGGCCATTGTAAACAACGCAGGAATAATAGAACGTGGCGAAGCTGAATGGACACCGTTGGAATTCTACCAGAAACAATTCGAAGTAAATACTTTTGGTGTTGTTCGCGTCACGCAAGCATTTTTACCGCTTCTTCGAAAGTCGAAGGGCAGAGTCGTTACTACCACTAGCGTAGGAGGTAAGCACATTCATTTCTTAACACCTCTTTCACCAGGTGTCTTCCTGTTTGCGCGGTTGTCAAAAACGTTCCTGTTTGCGAGAAATCACCAATCTTCATTACCCCCCTTCCAAAGGGGTTCCATAATGGGGGGCCGACTGGGCGTTGGCCTCTTCCGAAATGTAGGAAAGCAAAAATTTTTTAGATTTAAGAAAAGAATTTTTAAAAGAAATAATCGAAAGATATTTACGAAGTCTTTGTCTTTGTATATCTTTGCATAAATGAAGTACTGTATTTAAAAGGGAAGAGATGTTCAAACTCTGCAGTGATTTTGGCAATGAACTAAAATATCGTTTCCTAAAGTAAAAACAGTATTCTTCCGAAATTCTGCATAAAGGTGAATTATAATAAAACTTCAGAATATATATTCGTTGCGAAAAGAAAGGCAGATGAGAAGAAAATATACCTCGAATATCAAGGCAGTTACTGAGAAAGCTTTGTCCTAGCCAAAAGAAGCTTTTTTTTTTCCTAGCTGTAAATTGTCAAAGTCATAATTCAGAAATATAGCATCTGAATCTCGATTGAATGGACTTGCTTTACTTACATTCATCGGAATATCCAAATACATTATTAGAAACCATTGATAAATTTATTAATTGTCAAAGGTAAATTTGTTAATTTCAAAGATTTAATTCAGAAATTCCAGAAGCATAGCGCACGATTCAGCAGTCATTGTATATATTTATCATACTAATTTAAATTAATTAATTATGTGTATATACTTGTTAGTAATTATTGAGAGTAAATATAAATAGTTAAAGAATATATTTTAAATCATTTATTTTTATATACACATCTGTATTTGTATATCAATGAAATTGTTAATTATTATCAACTTATTTGATATTATTTCATTTTAAAATGCTCTTTTTCTAAATCTCCTATTCATCTAGCTTCTTTTTAAGAGAAACTGTACTTTATGAGTCACTTTCAATTCCAACTGTAAATGCGATTCGCAATTAAATTTAATTAATTCGTATGGTGGCAATATTAAAAACTTCGGAAACACTGGTTCAACAGGTTGTAACTGAAGAGTAAGTACAATCACGGCCAGCTTCTTTAAGGCAAATATCAAACGACTTTAGTTTACTCTGACGATGGATATTTAAAAAGTGAAGAATTCAGTATTCGTCGAATATTGCGATATTCTGATAATCCCTTAAAATTCGTGCTTTCGAAATCTCTGATAAAATCCCTTAAAATGCATGCTACGATTAGAAAATTTAATAAATTTGATTACAACGTGATGTTATTAGGTTTAATCACTGCAGCGAAACTGAAAAATATGTTATGCTCTCACCGGGTCTCAAACACGGACTTCTCCATACTCCCGAGTATCGAGAAGTCACACCACGAAGGCATGCGTAAAGAAAAGAGAAAATGTCTTATATATACTTTCTTTTAAGGACAACTGGGGAGAAGGGGATCCAATCACTAAATGCTGGTGGGGACGAATTATCGTCCACCGCCTTTTAGTTCAATGCAGAAAACGTGAAAAATATGCAGTGTCCTTCCCGAGTCTCGAACCCTGGATCTCTCGAATGCATGCCCGAGTATGCTTCCAATTAATCACGCAGGCATGCGGAAAGGAGGCAGAAAATACCTTATAACTAAAATTATCAATTTAATAACAGAGAAAATTCAACTTTCCTTCACACTTTTCCAAGCTTAGGACTGGCAGTAAAAATACTTTGTTTAAAAGTTTAAAAGTTGTGTGATGTTAGTCACTTTCCCTTTATAAAAAAAAAAAAAAAAAAAAAAAAAAAAAAAAGTTATTTTTAGAGAAAATTTTCCATATGTTTTAATCAAATTTTTGTAGATAAGAAAGAGATAATAAGCACTTTCTTATATTTTGTGATGAGTAAAATTCTTGCATAATACGTTGGATTCTTTCCTCTTTTTTGACCACACTTGTTTTCCTTCTTTTCCCTTCTAAATTTACATAACGACGACCTATAAAATAATCACTTTCTTTAGCTTCATTTGTCAAAAATTTTATCAGTTCTAGAGTTTTAGGATGGATTTTCCTGATAACAGAATTTAATTTATGATGCCATCCTTCAACAATATTATTTGTCCTGTGAAATTTTTCATTTCAATTCCACATCTGTATAGTTACGACGTCATTTTAAAGCCACTGCTCAACAATGTAATCATGAAATGCCTCTAATCTTGCATTAGGAGGTGAACTTTCTTGTATGCACAGTCAACCATCATCGACACATTCCGCGGGTATGCATGCAAGGGACGCGCACATTCTGAGATGGGTTCTAATTTCTTCATTATGCCTATATTCGTTAACAAGTCCCAAGTCTTGAATCTTTCTCCACAGACAGTGATTTAAGTGGAAATTGCAACCTCTTATATTTAAGGAAGGAAAAATATTTTTCAGCGAAATTATAACTGCAATTTCAAAATCCATCACAATTTCTTTAGAATCCCAATCAGAAATATGATTTTTAATTAAACGAAATAATCTCTCATAAGTCTGTTTTCGCTTATCGGGAAGTAAGCAAAACAACACAGGAACAACAATAATCTCGTTAGAGGTACTTCCAATATCAACATGGATAGTATAAATTTGAGAGAAAAAGCTTTGAGCAACTTTTAAAAAGTTCCATCCATAAAAGAAAGTTTTGCCGCTTTTCATTGCTTCCCTCCCCTTCTTACTTGAAAATACCAAAATTCGGCTATCTTTTAAATCATCGAACAACAAGAAACTAAAGTTATTATCCATTGCTAATAATTCATTAGGAATTTCTAAATCTTCCATACATGTAGCTTCTCGATCGTATCCTTCGGCACTTTGCCTAGATTTTGTGTAGAGCTGTTTTAACACTTGAAAACTGAAGATTATTGGTTAATATGTCAAAGCCTTGATTGTATAGTTTTCCAACTTCTTCATTGTAAATTTGAGAAAGTGGAACATTTTCTTCTTTCGCTCTCATTTTTGCTACAAATATTTTTTTTTTTATTTTTTTTTACTAAAGAAGGTGCTGTATCAGGTTGACTTGACATAAATAAATTGTTTCTTCTAAAACAACTTCTTTCTTAGTCTTAATTGAGGCTTTGCAGCTTTTAGTTTTTTCATTTATGCAAATCCAATAAACTAAATTTTCCTTATTTCTATTCCGAATTCGATATTGATAACCTTGTAAAGGGATAAAGGCTTTTTCCTTTTAGTTTCAATAATCTCTAAAACATCCATACTGATTTAGATACGAAAAATAACAGCTAATACTAAAGATTTTAAAGTGGAATGAAACTAAAGATTTCCAGATGAGCCTAAACTAAGACACGTCTTCAGTCTAACAATGTCAAGACGATGACTAACTTATTCACAAAGGAACTGCCTAACTCTTCTTAATGACTCATCCTGACCATAGAGGTAGGAAGTAAGATGGAGTTGCCTTAAACAAGTTTCTCCCGTACCCTGCTCTGAAGCACCGGCGATCCCTACGTGGTGACCAAAACATTGGGTCATTTACCATTGAGTTCAATGGGATTTGACGCGTTCGGATGTAAATATTTTGTAATTACGTCATAAATATACATACAAATGTATATATTTTCTTTTTCTACAACACTTCAGAGTCCTAAGTATATGAAAACAACATATTTTTAAACAACATTTCATTCTGAACGGAATTAAATGCTATACTTTTCACAGAACAGTTTTCTCAGAATGGTTTAATTTGAATGAAATATTTTCACAAGTTTTCGTTAATTACATTAGAAAAAAAAAATAAGGTAATTCGATTTTATTCGGTTAAGGTACAAAAATTAAGATCAAAGTTTATTGTATTATTAATATTAAAATTATGCATTATTTCTTTTCTATTTATAGAGCTTCTTCCTAAAATACTTTCTTAAATATGACATGATTTTTTTGGCTTCTGAGGCATCTTTTAAATCGAAAAATGTAAGTCAATTTATAAGTAATGCTCTATTCAGTTCATTTTAAATTAGAGAATTATTAGGAATTAGCGAAATACTTTAAATAGAACTTGACTTTTCTCTGAACATTTCTGGAAAGAGAATAAAATAAGTTGTTTTCTAAGTATTATTTAAAACTTGTAACTGAGTTATTATAAAATGTAAGCGTAATAATTCTTTTAATTATACTTATCAGATTTTTTTTTACCCTTCATTTCACTAATACATATTCCAAAACTCTTTATTACTTTCTTAAGTGCGCATCTCATAGTATTTGCTTTACAATACCTTTTAACAGATTGCTTTCCAATACGAACAATACTTGCTTAAATAGTTTTATAACGTATTTGTCAAAAGGATTTCAATTTATGTTTACAATTAAATATTATAAATTAGATACATTTAATAATTAGATTTCTTCACAGTATTTTCACAGTTGTTTATAAGTGAATAAATTCTTCATTTCAAATACATTTATAAATAATTTAATGAATATTTATGTATTTTGTCAAAGCAGATACATGCTTTTTGCAATAATATGCAACAATAATATATGGATGTGAAAAGAATTTGTTTTATTTAAAACATTTTGGCGTTTGGAAAATAAAATAAATGTAGCGAATACTCTATCAAGGGTATCGAAAGACGTATACAATTTTAAATGTACCGTAAGGTATTTTTCATTAAGCATAAAATTTTTCTTAAAATCTATATTTTTGTAGTTCAACAGCTTAGAATTTTATAAAACAAATTCATAATCAAAATCGCGCTGTTGTTAGTTATCGAAAAATAACCAAGATGTGATTTTTGCGTAAATGTCACTATACTATACAAACTGCTATTATCCATCACACTATGAATGTTCTTTCATGCGAAAGTGTCCCTTTTTCGATTTGTATGGAACTGTCGTGTGTCGAAATACTATCAGAACCGTGTCAAGCGAGCTTCTGAATGTAAACAAAGAACACCCAATTTGGTGATCCCAAGCTTCAAAGTAGAGCTTCACTTCTAGTGCCGACTGGCCCCTCCTTCCTTTCCTACCTCCATGATTTTTAACCTTAACGAAGAAATCAGCAGCTAACATATCTTCTTGCTTCTACTCGCACATGTTTCCGGTAATCCGAAGTTACGGTTGTTGAGATAAAACTTTTATCACCCAGCTTGGCGATCTTTCTCAACATGGCTTATATTTCCTATTGCAAACGAAGGGTGACATTTTTTCCGTTCCTTATTTTGCGGGGACATTCTTTCCGTTTCCCTTTTTTACGGGTGACATTTTTTCCTACAATCTCAAAATGCTTGTTTGTCCAGGTAAGAAATGCTTGTTTGTCCAAGTAAAAATGCGGTTGGAATAGTGCTTAACCATAATAAGCAATTTTAAAACAAAATCAGCGTAAATCATAAAAATATCAGCAGAAAGGACGTTTATTTCGTACTGGCATATTTTCACGTTGCTTTGTTAGCGGATGCAGCTCAATCGAAATGGCGCTTTGAAATGTGATCCAAGCTAACGGTTTTCTTGCCTAAGTTTAGTTTCTGGTTATTTCGGTTACCGCCCAAAGGAGGCGTAGTGTGTTAGCGTCAAGTTGACGCATTATAAATTCTAAAGAATTTAATAAAGTGTACTTTTAACCCTTCTCCTGTGTAGTTCCTACAAGATCTTACTAAGACTAATTTCTGTAAAGCTTATGAGGCACAATTTATCGAGGTACTTGTCTTCCTATGAAAGCAAAAATTTCTCAAGTTTCTTGTACTTTGAAAAAGGAAGCGGCAGTATAATCCTCGAGTTGCCGATTACGTATCTTCTGTACACTGCCGGACATTGGATTTCAAAACCCATGCTACGAAGCATATTGTGTTATTTTTCTATGTTTGCTTGTTTTCAACTTTTTCATGGTATTTCTACAGACCTCTTGAATCCTTTATCTTTAAAATGGCTTTGCTCTCTCTTTTTTTAACAATTTTTCTGCTTGGTTTACTATTGAAAGAAAGACGCGAGATGTTTTCCTTCCCTTTGAGAAAAATTGCAAGTTGTTCGTTTTCAACCAATCAGCTATCAGCTTGTTTGTAATCGAGAAGCAGTTTCGTCTGTGTTAACCCCAAAGCGATCTGTGGCGTCACCACCACGTCTGTGGTGACTGGCTGTTACGACAAAGCAGAAAGATTGTTTCAAACAGTTGTTCTTCCGAAACAAACGGGTGTGTAATAGCAGCCTAAAACTGAAATAGTATTTTACTTAATGGATCGACTCTAGCCAGTTTTGTTTGTGTTGTGCATTTTATATGCGCAAACAATCAGCTTATATTTAGCTTATTTTGAATCATAACTATAAAGTTTATGAATGTTTGCACCTTCCCCCCTCTTGTCTGTCTGTGTGTAGGGATTTATATTTATTTTAAATAACAAATTTTATTTAATTTTAAGCTTTTTTATAAGCCTTCATTCCCCTAATTGTCAAGGCCAGAATATTTAAATTTGGTAGCGCGCGTGAAGAAATTCAAATTCTACATTGAGGAGAGAAAGTTTAAATACGAAGTTTTAGAAGGAAAGTTAGAGAGAGTTAGGCTCTTGCAGTCACCTCTGTTGCTTGAGCTTCTACTTCCGGAGTTATTGCTTGTTTACGCGGCATAACAGCATTTACTTTGCTACCACTAGTTTCAACGCGGGTTTCAAAAACAGGCATATCTCAGCCATGTAGCTTAATTTCTACTACTTGTGAATATCTTCGAATTTTAGTTTAGTTTCTGGTTATTTCAGTTACCGCCCAAAGGAGGCGTAGTGTGTTAGCGTCAAGTTGACGCATTATAAATTCTAAAGAGTTTAATAAAGTGTACTTTTAACCCTTCTCCTGTGTAGTTCCTACAAGATCTTACTACACGTACAATTGTCACTTAGAAGATACGCAAGTGATTTTCACTTGTGTATTGTTACCTCCTTTTCCTCACTTATTACTCTAAGATTAAGTTTTTGTAAATTTAAAACTAGAGTAAGAAATCTATGAAAATTTAATTGAAGGATTTTAATTGCATTCTGTTATATATTAGCAAAATCTAACTAAATTTCTTTTAAATTTTCCTCATCGGCTTTTACACTAGTGCAACTGTAGGTGTCTAGTATTAGGATACAACATATGAGGTGTATCTCATTTGAGTTTGGTCTCTTTATCAGTTCGAATTCTTCGTATTTCCTGGTGTTTGTCGTACTGATATTTTTAGAAGTTTTATCCTTCGCAGCTTGAAATTTTTATCATTACAGATATTGTGGCGCTCTATTTTGCCGGCACATTTTTCTGATGTGCCATCCTAGGTAGTGTGGTCACTAGCGAGGGTTGATTGCTTGCCAGAATCAAATGGTGTGGTTCGACTCTTGCGTAAATTTTAACTGTGTTTATGTTAACTCCTTTTTTGTGGGTGTAATATCGGTCACTTCCTGTGATGCATTCTAGACAACAATCTGGGTGGAGAGGTGGTTGATGAAACGATGGATTCCACCCGGAGACGTGAAGGTTAAGCATTCTCGTCGAATTGTTAACCAGAAAGAGTCCTGTTGTTGGTCAAAAAAAGAAGGGGAGGGGGATTCCTCTGAGGCTCCAAATTCTTTCAGAAAACAATGTAATTAAAAATATATTTTTTAATTAAAAGACGCATAGTGGTTTTCATGAATTTCCATGCATGTTAATAATTAGAGTAGAACAAACGCATTCATGCCAAGCATCACATATATCCTCTACGACTAGTTAAAATAAATAAATAAATTAAACTGCTTGAACTGTTAAAATATAAACACACACATCTCTTTAATTATTATGTGAAATGCGCCAACTGTTTTTTAACATCCGAGTGAGATTATCACAGACATAAAATATTATAGATGTGTTTTAATTAACCCTTTAAGGAAAGAAAGTAAAGCTCGAATAAAACATCTTTAATGCGCTTCGTTTCGATTACAAGCCTGCCACTAAGCAATCCCTTTCATTTAGTTTCTATCGATTCTACTGTCTGTTCAGTCATTTTAATGTAACATTCTTATTTACAACAAATAATGAATATTAATGTTTAGACATATTCAAGATGCAAGGATATTAAACAAAATCATTGTGCTTCTCTTGTAACTCTTTTAGGATCAAAATCCTGAAATTCAGTGATTCCATGAAAATACACGAGTGATTTTTTAATGCTTTGAGAGAACGTTATTAAGCTTGAAAAATTAATATTAATAGTACTAATGTATGAGCAATCAATTGTCCAACAAAACAGTTCATTTCCTGTTACCATAAGATATAATGTTTTATAAATATTGAAATTACCAACTTAAAACTTGATTTTTCCAGTTTAATAAATGGAGGCACTGGTTTAGCAGTTTGAATGTCATAATTGTAATAAAAAATTTGACTGTTTTTGTATTTCTACTTTTTATGAAAATTAACCTAACTTAACATATTAAGTATTTCAGCTTTGAATTGCTCGAAATAATTTCATAAGTTACTCGGTAAAACTTATATCAAACAGATTCACCCCATTTAATTCGAAAAAGTGGGTTTCTATCGTGTATTCATTCATCGAATTTCCTTGCATCTCGCACTTTTTCTTTTTACCGCATTATCCTTTCTTTCCAGGTCGCTATACTTTCTCAGGTTTCGTTCCTTATTGCATGAGCAAACATGCAACCAGCTCCTTCTGTGATGGCTTACGTCTAGAGATGGCAAAATTCGGAGTCAAGGTTATTACAGTCGAACCATTTTCTTACAAGTAAGTTTAATTTTCGGATTTACAAGTAAGTTTAATTTTCTTACAAGTAAGATTAATTTTCGAATATGCGTTTACAATTTTTAGTTTGAAAAGCGAATGTTTGCGATATTATAGGCATGATATGATTCGTAGGTGCTTTATTTTTTACCATGATATTTTTAACGATGAAATATTAAAACTGCAATGTTTTTTAATTGGTTTATTTTTCAAGACGTTGTTTTATACCACGATATTTTAGAGCTGCGATATTTTCTCTCTGCTTTCTTTTATTTCACGACGTTTTCGTCCGCAATGTTTTTGCCGCGATACTTTCGATGGATGCCGGCTGTCTAAGCGCAGAAAGTGAAAATATATCACACAATTATTTACAAAACCCAGTACAAGGTTGTACATGGTTACAGAATTGGAAGAATAAAAAGTATTTTTATTTTATGTTGAGTATAAATACCGAAGTATAAATACATTTTTGTTTACTGCAAATAAATAAGCATAGAGCTGTATATGCAATAATGAGCTCGAGTTGAATACACTCGGTTTTGAAATTCATACACAATTAAAACTTAAAATTCAGTTTAAATTTGAACGCAACTTTTGCATATAAAAAGTAAGTATTACTTTCCATTAAAGCTATAATTAAAAATTACAGCATTATTCTGATGTATTAATGTGAAATAATACACTCACAATCCTGCACATAACAAAGGAGGAAATACACTTGACATCAGAATTGGTGAGATCAGTAAAGGCATGAATCATAGTTCTTTTAAGTTATGTCTCTCGCGTAAATTAATTTACAATAGTAGATTAACAGTTTGAAATGCATAATATAAATGTTTCGCTGAGAATAAGTAGAAAAACAATGTTTGTGTTGTAAGGATTATATTTATTTATCTAACATTTAAATTTTGAGTCAAACTTCCTTTCTTATCGCTTCTTAATTTCAACTTACCACTTCCAGGCCAGAATGTAGTTTTAGAATCACGTTTGAATGCAAATTGCGGAAGAGCTGTATTTAAACGCAAAATTGTACTATCTTAGCCAGAGAGAACCAGAGATTCTGGCTAGCACACGTCCGCCTTTTTAGACTACTCTATCTTAAGCTGTTATTATGCTTGGCCGTACTTTAGGCCTTTAATAGCTTCACAGTCAATTAGCGTTAAGGGGCGAACTCCGTTAGAATCTTGATAGCTTCAGATATATCTTTTAGTTAAGATTAGTTAAGTTTTAATTCTTAGTTTCCTAAGTTTAAGCCCGAGTGTTGGCTATATTGTTAAACTTCAAGACGGAGTCTGTTAAATCTTATTTGAATAATAAAGAGTCTTTTAACCCTTTCCAAGTTTAATTACTGTCTCACGAACTCAAGCGATTATTCGCCTACTAGTTCTTAAGATTCTTCACATTAAACTGTAACTTAAAGCACACAGTAGGAAATCTTACAGTGTAATTCGGTTACAGAGAAATGGGCTCCAGTAAATGATCTATGCCTTTTCGATTTCAAACGATGCGCTTCTCTAACTGTGCTTGGACCTTATTGTTGTAGTTAATGTTTATTTACACTAGGAATCAAGACTGAAACTGTTCCTTCCAGTAAAGTACTTAAAACAATGGATTTTCATCCAATTTACATTTATTAAGCAGAAAAGCTAAGAAAGAACGAAGAGATGCTTAATTTTCAAAGTGTGCATGAATTAACAAAGTAACGTTAAGACGTCTTCAGCTTTTCAATAAATATCCTAATGTAAAAAAAAAAAAAAAAAAAAAAATTACAATATGATTTTTTTTTTTTTTTTTTTTTTTTTTTTTTTGTCTTTGGCTCCCAACTTACTCTTCACAATGCAAATGAAGCAAAATGGGGAAAAGGTTGAAAAGATAATATATTTAAAACATTGTTTAAATGATTTGCTCTATAGAATTGTCTTACTTTGATTGCAAACAGTTATTTTCTAAAATAGCCTGCACTGAAAGATGGAGTAATTTTCCCTTAAGTGGTTAAAGCAATAGTAATTATTCCTTTCTTTCAAGGAAGAATAGCCAAAGAATTTTAAAAAACTCTGAATAACAATGCCATTGAATTTTTTATAGTTCTTTCCTTCCTTTCGCGGCTAAATAAACATTGTTTCAAGCAGCATTTATCTAAACCGTACTATCTCTATCAAATCCATATATTTCTTGTCGATGGATACAGAAAGCCCATGAGTTTGTTGTCTTCAGATTCAAAACTCAGTAATGAAATTTACCAATAGAAATTTTAGTCACTATTCACTCAGTATACGATTATTCAAAGTATAGCAACTCAATAATTATGCATTTTGGAAGATTTTATTTCTTCCTTCTGTAAAGTTTCAAAATGTAATTCATGATGTTTCAAAATTCAGATATTCAGTTCTTCCAGATAGGGAATGTTACGTTACGTTACGTCCGATGTATGAAGGTTCGTTGACGTCCAGTTAGTTAGTAATGAATGATACATTAAAATGTCTAATGAAAGTTTAAAAAAAGAATCAGAAACGCCACACATATTTTTGACTTGAGAAAAATATTATATTAGAACGTCTGCAACGTACAATGAGTTGACTCTTTTAAACAGAAGTATTGAAAAATCTATAGCTTAAAAAAATGCGCCTTTTAATTTTTTTGTGACATTCGATTAAATTGATATGTTTATGCTATTATTTTAGTTTTACTAAGTTTAGCTTTATACAGATTTCCTTCTTTCATACCTTGTTTCCTCACTCACTCTGTCAGTCTAGAGATTTACAAAAATTTTATGGCAGGTGGCGGTGCTTGTAGTTAGGACGAAACCGGTGATTCTGAGTAGAATTCTAGCCATATTGCTTCTGTTTGCCTAGAGGCTACCATCCATCAGAATAGAAGCTTCGAATACCATGACATGCTCGTGCTCAGTAAGCGTAGAAAGTTAATGTGCATTTCCGTCTCATCCAGACAATGTTCTAGTCTTGAATAGCGTTTATTGGAATTGCAAGGCAGCCAATATGTTGTAGATTAACCGCAAATTGTTATCTACGAGAAGTTGAATTAATTGTCTTTTAACTATTTCAGTTGCAATTTCACATCTAAAGAGGAAAACAGTTTTATATTAATCTTTACCTTTCGAGGTTTAGCTTGCACCTATTGCAACATTAAGAGAGAACAATAAGTCAGCAGCTAGTTGAAATGATATCTAATGGTTGCGTGCAAGCAAGTAGTTTTTAGTTAAATAATTTAATTTAAGTATTTATACACCTTTAAATGTTGCATCTTTATTAAAGGAAAAACTGAAGTTATTTTTTGTTATACTTATGATATGAATTTTTATGTAAGTTATTTTCTTGTTTCCTTTTTAAATTATTCATTTTTATCTGAATATCAGTCACTCATTCCTATATAAGCAGTTCTTTTTAATTTCTTTTTGATTTATATGCTTCATACGGCAGTCACTCATAATCAAAATTCTTTTTTTCAAATAGGACTGCCATGACGCACATGCCTACGGTGCTCAACAGTGCTTTGAATACATGGGAAAAATGCCCTAAAGAACTAAAGAAGGATGTCTATGACCAAAAATATCTTGAAGCTTTTGTGGAATCCGTGCGCAAATTTAATGAGAAGACGGCCTTGCAAAATACTAACAAAGTAGTGGACCTATTAGTGGAAAGTGTATGCGCTATTAGTCCTCATTATTCTTATGTACCAGGGGATTTGTGGTCCTTACTGTCTCTTTGGTTTGCAAGGAGAATGCCTAAAACACTTGCAGATTATCTGTTAAGGGAAACTGTCACATTTGATTGTGACGTTGAAAGGTATTTGCAAGATAAAACACTCAAAAAGAAGATGTCCTAGGATTTCAAATTGTACAGAAATATGAACTTGTTTTCTGCATTTGCTCTTATATGATTTATATTCAAATATCATCAGTAGTTGTACATTTGTAATAAAGTAAATTTTCTTGTTATTTGGTTTTGTGTCATATAAATTAACTGAAAAATGGCTTAATATTTACTAAGGTTATAAAGAAACATGTTTAACATTGATCAAAAAGCAGTTCTGCCAAGTTTTATTAATGGATGTTAAACATGTGTTCACATCAACTTAGGACATCACAAGTCCCGATGTGCTAAGAAAATACATGTATTGTCAGAAGTAATGAAGCCTTCTTCCTCAGATATAAATGAGCCAGTGGCCACTGCCGACAAAGAAAGCCTTGATAACAGTAAATGTTTTTAAAAAATGCTAATATTATATACTATCTGTCATCAGATATCGTTGCGAATACTAATATCCAGAAAAATGAAACTCCCACTAAACTATATCAGCTATCTGAGGCAGAGCGGAAGAAAATGTATCCGACTTTAGTCTACATTCTATCTATCGGATGACGATTGAATTCCTTAAAGTATTCATATTTCTACAATAGCAACATTTTTTAAACATTTCTGACATTAATATTTTGTTGATGTAAGTTTACTGATCATCAACGCTATTCAGATCGTTGACATATCACACCGGGTAAGGGAAGGGGTGAATTTATGCTTAGTTGTATATGCAGTAACAAAAGACAGTCTTATTGAATATTTGTTACACATGAAGAAAATGTGATAAGTTTTCTTGAACAATTACAAAAATTTCCTAGTTTTAAGTATATCATATGCGTCATTCACTATAAATAAACCTATATTTTGTTGAATAGAGAATCAACTAAGTTGATGATTTTAAAGTGAGTTTTGAACCACTAAGAACATCATGATTTAAAGTTTATACTAAGAGTAACAATTCGAGGTATCATAATTAAATATTAAATGTCTAAATTCTATTTATCATGCCACGGTTTTGATCATAATAAAAGGCATGCAAAATCTTAAGTAAATAACGCAGTATGAAATACGTGTATTGTTTAAGCAAAATACGTATATCTAAAGTTTATTAAAATTAAAATTAAAAAGTAAAATAAAACAAATTCTTTACGTTATTCTATGCATATTTAACTAAATTATTTTCAACTACATACTAAAGCGTTTTCACGCTGAATCTCGTATTATAACGATAAAGATCAGATTGTAATAAAAATACACTTTCTTGATTTCAAAGTCTATTCGTAAATTCAAAGTTTGAATATGCTTTTTGGTTCTTGTTAGTTCATAAGTCTGAGAGCCCATGGTAACATAAATTTAAATTTTCCATTTAAACAGTAACATTGATTTAAAAATTTCTCCACCTACTACTACAAGCAACTACTGTCATTTAAAAGTAAGACAGATACACAATGTGCATAAACTATCTAATAAGTAGTAGATTTTAAAAATTCTTAAAACGTTTAGTAGAAAGATTGCTTAATTTTTTTAATTCGTTGACTCAAGAGCTCTGATGCAGAAATTCGTTAATTAAGAGAAAGTGTGTGATATACCTAGAAATCTAAATATTTCTTCTTCAGTTTTCAAAAATTAATCATTTTACTTTAAAAAATTATCTTTTAAAACTGACTAAGATCAAATTCTGTTTTTATCCATTACATAAATCCAGAACAGAACAAAAATGAGAAATTACGATGAAAAACATAATTAAAATATAAAATTAGGCGTTAGGTTTTAGTCATAAAAACCTAAAGAAAAAAAATAAGTGTTACGCAATCCATATAAAAATCTTTAATTAAAATTTAAAGAGAGGCATATTATGTAATGAAATTAGATGTAAGTTAAAGGGAGAGCTTCTTAATTAAGAATGCTATTCAAAATTAAAACTAAATTTTTATTTATACACACACAGATATATATATATATTTAATCAATACTGTTTAGGAAATAAATTATTATTATTATTATATATATATATATATATATATATATATATATATACTAGTGTTCAAAATAGTGAAAATTTTCACATTTTGTTGATTATCTTCAGAACTGTTGGTGAGATTTTAATGAAATGTGGTATGGATGTAGGTTGATATAGATGTTTTTCTTATAACAGTCTACGAAAGCATGATCATGTGAAACTCTCAGAGCAGCAAGGTCAAAAATAAAGGTTCTTAGATTGAGAAAAAAAGGGGCTAATGTAAAAGCATGGACCATTTAACAATCATACAACTCCCAGGATGTGATTTTATACTAGAAATGAGACAGTTTATAAGTCCCTCTGGTAGTCTTGAAGCAACACTATATTCCAGTCCTGGAGGATTCTAAGAAGGGGAAAGCGAGTGCTGTCTGAACAGTTCGTTTCACTTACATTTTCACTTTCCAGAAAACCATCAGTCAAATTAGACCTTTGCGAACGAGCGTTGCCGATCCTAAAATTGAACTGATCCTAAAATTGAACTAAAAAAGCGAATACAGAGTTCTAAAATCTCGTTCCTACATCTCACAGCAGTCAAAGACTTGAAGGTCGGTGCGCCGTATTACCTGATGACCGTATGACCTATCGCAGACACTCAAACAACCACTACCATATTGTCTTCTTTTTCAGGTACTAAAAGACAGTTAACGGGTCTCTGGCTAGCACCAGATCGATACACCGGGAGTCACTTGTTATGCTGAACCAGAATTCATCTGTGAAGACAACGGTTCCCCGCTGATGCTTGATGCAAAGTCGATGTTCTCATCTTGTAAACCAATGTACGACCAATCTATGAACTAAGTGCAGTTTACCCTCAGTTCATTTTAAGGCTGATTATCAAGTACACATAGGGCTAATCTGGCGGAAAAGTTTCTAAAACATGAGGACATTAACCAAAACAAGAGCTCAGCCTGATTTTCAAATCTAAATCCATATAGCATATGATTTAGACGCTCTTGGGAGGCAATTATAACTCACCTTTCCTCTCCAAAACTCTTCAGGGCAAGAAAATGATATTGTTGCTGGAGTGTTACCGACTGCTGTATACGAACTCATAAATGGCTTCATTTTAAATGAATTTAGGAATTTAGGAATAAATTTAGGAATAAATTTAGGAAGTCAAGTTCTGTGAGTCGTATGACTGTTGGAGAGTACCACAGCCTATATTAATATCTTTTTTTTTTGGTACATTCTTGGCCATTTTGTTTAAGACCCTTCCTACACCGATGAGCTTTTAGTACAATAATGCTTGTACAGCGTGCCTGTTGTATAGCATATTTTTTTAGTATACCACACTTTGTTCTTACCAGATTTCATTATAATTTAGCCACAAGTTCTGGAGAAAATAGATCAAATGTGAAAATTATCTTAATTTCGTGTAAATAAAAATTCTTCTCCAAGAAGAAAATGTCATAAAAAATTACATAAGAAAGTTGTTTGTTAATTACTGCCTCCATATTCTGAATGAAGATGGTTTTATGCAATTTCCTATAAATTTTCAGATGTATCCAATGCTAATAAACAGCATTTTTGAGATTATTTTACCATTACAAATCAGATGTAATAACAGCTGCTCTGGTGAAAAAAATGATGATGGCGAACTCTTTAAAGAACTGATAAACTCTACGAAATTCAAATCATATTCAGTGATAAAAACTATTTAAATATGAGAAATGCATTTTAAATCATCCCTAACAAACCCTAACCAGTTTAGATCAATTTAATCCCTAACAAGCAGGACATGAATTCATTACAAAAAATGTTGACGGCAGAATTAAATACATGGGTGAAAATGCACTTTTATACATAAATTTTTAAAAAAATGTATGAGATGCTTTAAGGCAGAAAAAATTATTCATTTATTTCCTGACGAGATTTTCAATCTAAATTTTACGAAGATTATAAAAATGCATGCATGTAAGTGCACTTATTCCACTTAAATTTCTGAGTTTGATTATGCTTTGCATATTTTCCCCTTTTACCTATCATTTATATCTAATGTATTGTTTAATAGAAATACAGTTAAAATCTTTTTTAATTAAAAAAGTCTACGTTTATATTGCCTATTATTTTCTTATCAAAATGTAAATAAATGGATATTTCCCTTATAAGGTATTTCTCCCACTTCCCTAGCGCGCCTTCGTGGTGTAGAGGTTCTGCACGCTGGGCCGGTATTCCAGAGGGTATTGGGCCAGTATTCGAGTCCCAGATCGAGCCACGAGTTATCGGCGACTTTACCGCTCAAAAGAAAAGTTCGTGGGAAACTAGAAACGATAAAAATGTGAAAATAAAATTTAATAGGTTTTTTTTTTTTTTTTTTTTTTTTTTTTTTTTTTTTCATTAGAAAGTTTAGTTTTCAGCTACACTTGACGAGATAATAATTATTTAACATTTTTATTCCTTTTCTCTTTTTCATAACATGTACTGTTTCCAGAGACGAGTATTGAATAATTTAACCTTCTAATGCCCATGGTAGCATATTTGCTACCATATATTAAACGCCACGTTTTTATACCAGGAACGCCGTGAAATGTAATTTTTATGTCATAAATTTATAGACTGAATCTTTCTCATGCATTATTAGCAAATTTTAGGCATAGATAGCAGTACCAGCTTAAAGGAAAAAAATTAGAACCAGCATGGATGCAGCAAACAATGCAAGCACCTTTTCAGACGTAAGTTGTTTTTTTATTTTATAAACATTTTATTAATAAAACAGTTAATAATTACTATTTATATAAAGTAAAAGTATCACACAGCATTAAAACAACTTTCACAAAATTATCGTTTTTAGTGCTAAAAGGTATTTTTAAAATCATGGTAGCAAATCTGCTACCATGGGCATTCGTGTATCTAAGCCTAGCAGTTCTCTGAAGAAAATGTGTTTTTACACTGAAATTAGTTGATGATCTTTAATCTTTGTAATTTTACAGATAATATATCCTTGAATACAATTTATGGATTTAAATTTTATTAGTTTAAATTTTGATATTTTTCAATTAAAAAATATTTTAAGATATATTTTTCCTGTTAAAAAGTCTCCAGGAAAATTCATTTTGAGATTTAAGTTGAAAAATAAATTTGATCCTCTATTAAATCTCAAGTTCTTTTTAATATATTTGT